CTGGCGGCCCTGGTCCGCTCGCTCTGGACCCGCGACTACAGCCCGCAGCTCGCCGCCGAGTTCAAGGTACCGAGCGGCCCGGCCCCGCCCCGCGGCCCCCGAGCGGCCCCAGCTGACCCCGGCCCCCAGCGGCATCCCCTGCCCGCAGCGGTACACCCGGCTCACAGCTCCCTTCAGCCCCCTCGGAGTCCACTGACGCCCTTCCCATGCCCCTGGAGCCCACCGACACCCTTCCCAGCTCCCCAGAACACACCGACACCCTTCCCAGCTCCCCAGAACACACCGACACCCTTCCCCGCTCCCTCGGAGCCCACTGACACCCTTCCCCTGCCCCCCAGAACCCACCGACACCCTTCCCAGCTCCCATCACCTTCTCCCCTGCCTCATCCTCCCCATGGACCCTGCCCTGCCTGACACCCCCAGACACCTCCCTGTTGCTGTCACCTCCCTCTGGCCTGGCCATTGTCCCCTGAGCTCCCAGGGCTGGCCATGCCACAGAGCCCTGAGGGTGAGCTGCTGCTGGCTGTGGTCATGGCTAAGACAGGATATTACCCAGGAGCCAAATTCAGTGGCCTCAGGCTCTGTCCCTGAGCGTGTGTCACACCTCTACCGGGTACATGCCCGGGTGCCAGGGGCATCACAGCATGTCCAGGCTGGCATTGCAGCTCCCCACACTCAGGGCCACGTGTTCTCTGCCCGAGTGACATTACCTCTGTGCTGCCAGCAAAGTGCTGCTGCCACTGAACTTTGCGAGGTGCCCGGGGGAGTTCCCGGGAAGCCGAGCCCTGTCCTGGGATGGGCTACATTGAGTTGATGCCATCAGAGTGCCCGGGGCAGGTGGGACCTGAAGGTCCCCATGGCTGAACTTGCCCATCTGGACTTCATTGCGGTTTTCCCTGTGTCCTCTCCTGTCCTGTTCCTGGCCGCTGGAAGGAGGGACACGGCTGAGCTGCCTCAGCTGCGTGTGCTCCGTGTCCCCGCTGCTCTGCTGGCCCCGGGGTGGCCGTGATGTCCCTGCAGAGGCTGTAGCAGGGATGGGGCTGGCATGTTTGGGGTGGGTGCTGAGGAAGAATCCGTTCATCAGCGCCTGCCCCGCCCGTGTCTTGCAGAACATCGTCTCCAAGCACAGCTCGCAGTTCCGGGGCAACGCTCAGCACGATGCGCTCGAGTTCCTGCTCTGGCTGCTGGACCGAATGCACGAGGAGCTGGGCGCCGCCTCCCCCGCCCAGCAGAGCCGCGGCCCCACGCAGGTGGGTGGCCCCGAGGGGTGGCCGCACGCCCTGGCTCGGGGAGAGGCGTTCGGGCCAGGTTCGGGACCAGGGACACCGGGATGTGCTGCGAGGCACCAGGATGGAGTTGGCCCCCGCCCGGATGGGGATGGGGATGCTGTGGTTCGGTCGGTGCGCGGGTGAAAGGATGATGGGAGCTGAATGCTGCCGGGCTGGGCAGGGGTCGGAGCGCTGGGAGAGTGGAGGGTGTCGGCAGGAGCCCCTCCAGCAGAGCATCCCGGCTCTGGGGGCATCCTGGTCTTTGGTGAGGAGGAGATGCAACCCCCCCCGTCCCTCCATGCCTCCAGCTAAGCCCGCTGTAATTACAGCTCGGCGGCTTTGCTGCTGGCAAAATGAGTAATTAAGTCTTCCTCAATCCATCTGCGCTCAGGCATTGCCCTGGCCCTGGCCCTCCCTGCCTCCTCCTGCCCGCTCCTTCCTCGCTTGCTGCTGCCTGCCGGGCACTGCCTGTTGCAGGGGATGGATTTGAGCTGGGCTCAGCAGCGTCCTTTCCCTGCTCTGGGGTGACACCCGGCTCAGGAGCATGCTGTCCCCACTCTGGGTGACTCCCATCTTGGGTCTGAGAGCAGCTCCCTCCTCCCTGTGCCCAGCTTGGGGTGTCGTGGTTGTGCCAAGTATGTGGGTTGGGGTCCCGGGCAGACCCTGCCCAGCCTCCAGCACAGCTCTGTCCCACAGGAAGAGCTGGGCTGTGGTTCCTGTTGGAATACAGCTGGAGTGCAGAACTGGGAGTACTGCTCCACTGGTGCCATCTCCAGAGCCTCTGGAGAGGCTGCCCTGCCTGGGCAGGGTCCTGCAGCCATCCCTGCACCGACCTGAGCTGTCCTCAGCCCTGCCACCTTTCCCGGGAGGCATTTGGATGCCCCAGGCTTTTTGGGAGAGCCTGGCAGTTCTCGTTAAATGTCAGGTGCCCACGTGTGCTCTGATCTGTGCGTGACACCGGCTGAGCCACCTGGACGTGGTGCCACTGCAATGCCCGAGGCACTACCCTGGCTCGGGATGGGGCCTTTTGTGTGTCCCACAGCATCCGTGGTTTTGCCTGGTATCCCCCAGTTTTGGCCCCTTTTGGTGATGCCACCTGAGTGGCACCAGCACGCCCTGTCCTTGGGCCGGGACACCCGGCAGGGCTGTGGCCCTCTGTAAATGGCCGGGAAGTGTCTGGAGGGAGCTGTTGGGCAGGAGGAGGGACCAAAGTGGGGACCAAGGCTTGGCTGCCAGGAGGGCTGGAGGAGGAGGCATCCCCTGGGTATTTGGGGGGCCATGTAGGGCACAGACACCATCCCCTCTCAGCCACACCAGATGGACCTCAGTGCCAGGCAGACCGTAAGGACACGTCAGGCTCAGCAGGACCTGGTGCTAGCAGATGGCATTGAGGAAAATCCACCTCTTGGCCAAAATCTTCAGTGATTTTCAATCTTACTCATCGAGTGAGTTACACCAGTAACTCACTGTCCTACCCTGAAACAGCCAAGTGTTTTTTTACTGACACTCCTTTCTGCAGCATCTCTTCTGCCATCAGGCTCCAGGGGTGAAACTCCTGTCCCCAGCATGGGCATGGGGTCTCCTGGTAGGTCTCAGGGCAGCGGGCAGGCAGGGAGATGTCCCCTAAGCAGGCAGGTTTGGCTGTGTCACACAGTCACATCCCAAAAGAGTGGAGCAGGAGAGCCGGCTGCTCTTGGGGTCCCTGCGGCACATCTCACGTGTCAGCGAGGCACCGTGCCAGGCCAGCCTGGGGGGCTGAGTGCCTTGGCAGGGCTCGCTGTGCCCGGGTTTGGCACGCCGGGAGCCGTGCCAGGAGCCGTGCCGGGGCTCGGTGCAGAGGGAGCCGTGCCAGGAGCCGTGCCCGGGCTTGCTGCCGCTACAGATGCTGGCGGAACGCGCAAAGACACGGCCGGTCCTGGGCACCCACCTGGCCGGGAGGGCACCGAGCCAGCCGGGGCTGCTCGCACCTCCCGGATGCGGGTGATTTGCCCGCGGTGAATTCGCACCCAGCCGTGCTTCCCTGGGGCGGGGGCACGCACGGGAATGTGCACATCCGCTCCAGGAGCTCATCCCAGACACACAGACACACACACGGACATACTCTCCATGCTCCCTGCAGTGTCCCACCCTCTCACCCACCCACGCTGCAGCTCCCAGGGCCCGTGGAAGTTTGCTTGGCACAGTGGGAGGGAGCCAGCGTGGCTGGGCCACCTCAGCCAGGATCCCCTCCGGGAGCGTTTCTCCTGCCTTGAATGCATTCCTACCTCCAGTTCCTTGGTGTCCCGGAGCTCTGGCTACCTTGGAGCGGGGGTCTCACCATGCAGACCTTCATTAACCCTTCGTGCCCCAGGCTGGCCGAGGGATAGGACGTACCCAAAGGTTCCCCTGGAGCAGTCGTGTAGGCAGCCTGGAGGGCACTGCAGTGCCAGGCAGGCAGGTGCCAGAGCCTCTTTGGCATCACCTTCAGCCTATCCTCGTGCCACAGGGACACCAAAGTTGGGCTTGGTTCACTCGGACGTATCCCTGACGCTCTGAAGGACGTGTCCCTCACCCTGTAACCTCACTCACCACATGTCTCTTGCCCCTGCAGCCTGGTAAGGACGGGAGCAGCAGTGCCAGCAGGTCCCTGCCAGGCACCCAGCACCCCCACGGGCAGAGCTTCGTGCAGAGCCACTTCCAGGCCCAGTACAGGTCAGTGGGGGGACCTGTGGGATCTTTGCCCTTCTGTGAGCCCCAGGTGAGCACTGTGAGTCCAGGGAAGGGATGAAACGCAGAGGATCTCCATCCATCCCACCCACCCCAGCCATGGCAACTCCTTCCCCTAAAGCACTTGAAAGTGTCCAAGGCCAGGCTGGACAGGGCTTGGAGTGCCCTGGTGCAGTGGCAGTGTCCCTGCCCGTGGCAAAGGGGCTGGACACGCTGCTCCTTGAAGGTCCCTCACAACCCAAACCACGCTGTGCTTCTGTCACACGACTCAGGACTGTCCCAGCCCTCCAGCACAAGGGTGCCCCTCTGTGGGACACCCACAGGTTCATCTGGCTGGGACTCATGGGATGCTCAGGCCACCCTGTCCCCAAGCCATGGCACTGCAGGCAGCAGGGGACACATCTGGCATCACAAGCCCTTCCTCCTCTCTCAATTAATCCCTCGTCCTATATATGAAAAAAGGCACTTTAATTATCCCTGTTCCACGTGCCAGAGCCGTCTGTGCACTAAAGGATTTATTAATTTGTGTGCCTGTTTCCCAGAGAGCTGAGTGGCTTTTCAAGGTGACAAATAACAAGGACTCAGGATTTTGGTTCGGATTTTAATTTATTCTTTCTCTTTTTGTTGAACAAAAAGGCAAAGAGAGAAAAACGAATTAAAAAAAAAACCCAAAACACCAAAAAACCAGCAAAAAAACCCCAAACAAAATCACACACACAAAACCAACAAACACAAAAAAAACAAACCAAAGAACAGAATTAGGAAGAATCAGCAGTAGGTGGCTGTTGGTGCCAGGGTGGGCAGGGGTCCAGCAGTGTGTCCCCAGGGCCATCCTGGGGTCAGTCAGAGGCAAATGTCCTCCTGCTGTCCTTGTCTGCTCCTCCCACAGCCCAGCCATGACCTGGGGAGGGAGTCCTGTTCCTCCCAACACCCCGGGGTGTTGTCCCTGGGGTCACTTCAAAACCTGGGACGATGGATTTGGGATGTGGTACCCGGGATGCAGCACTGGTGCCAGGGTGCTGCAGCCGCAGGGTGGGCAACCGGGGGGCCGTGCCCGCTCCGGTGACGCTCCCCATCCATTTCCCAGGTCCTCCCTGACGTGCCCTCACTGCCTGAAGCAGAGCAACACCTTCGACCCCTTCCTGTGCATCTCCCTGCCCATCCCACTGCGCCAGACCAGGTGAGCCCCCATCCACCCCGCGGCGGGACGGCCGCTCCGGCCACAGCAATTTGCACATTTCGGAGTAAACCGAACACGGGAGGTGGCGGCAGCACCGGGGCCAGGTGACAGCCGCAGCAGCCGTGTCCATCGGGTGTGTGCCATTCGGCGCTGAGCTGCGTCCCCTGTGTCCCCAGAGCTCTGAACGTCACGCTGGTGCTGCAGTGCGAGCGCTGGCGCTTCGTGCGAGTGGGGCTGGCCGTGCCGCTGCTGGGCACCGTGGCCGACCTGCGGGCGCTGGTGGCGCGGGAGGGCCGCGTCCCCCCGGAGCAGGTAACGGGGCTGGGCGGGCGGGGCGCGGGGCTCGGGGCCTCGCGTCGCTGAGGGAACGGCCCGCAGGTGATCCTGGCCGAGGTGTCCCCGCGGGGCTCCCTGCGCTCGCTCGCTGACCCCGAGGCGCTGGGCCCGGCCGGGGAGGCCGCGCCTGTCTACGCCTTCCAGCCGCCGCCCGCCCGCCGCGCAGGTACCGCCCCCTGCTCCGATTGGCTGCGGCTGCCGGCCCGGCCCGCGCGGATTGGCTGCGAGCGCTGTGCTGCTTTGCGATTGGCTCTGGGTGGAGGGGCGGGAACGGCCACGGGATTGGCCCGAGGCCGTGGATCCCTCGCTTTGATTGGTGGGAGAAAGTGGATCCCTCATTGGGATTGGTGGGGCAGTGGGTCCTCTCTGCTGTGATTGGTCAGAAGCAGCTGCACCCCACTGGGACTGGGGGAGGCAGTCTCTGCTGGGATTGGTGGGAAATGGATCTCTTTGGCTGGGATTGCTGGGAGAAGGCGTGCTGCACTGGTATCGATGGGAAGGGCGGTGGTGGGCAGGGCCATGGCACTAATTAGCCCAGAGCTAACGAGGGCCCCTCGTTTTCCCGGCCCACAGGGTGTCCCCGCAGCCTCCCCGCGTCCCCCTCAGTGCCACGGCCAGAGGGGCCGCGTCTGCTGCCCAGCAGCGCCCGCTCCTCCGACTGCCTGCACCGCGCGCCCGGCAGCCGCATCCTGCTGCTGCTCTGCAACACTGCGGGCACGGGGCCGCAGCTCGCCAGGTACCTGTCACCCGCCTGTCACCCGCCTGTCCCCCTGTCCTGCCCTGCCCTGTCCTACCCACTCACCGCCCGTGTGACACCCAGCCACGTGTCCCTGCTCTCTGTCCCCAGGTTCGGGCCACCGCTGCTGCTGCGGGAGGAGCGCGGCGTCTCCTGGGAGCAGCTCCAGCAGAACATCCTGGCCCAGCTGAGGGGGGTCCTGCGGGGAGAAGTCCGGCCACAGGTGAGCCCAGGGAACAGCCCTGTCCCCTCAAAGCTATCAGGTTTTGGGCCCTAAGCCTGGCTTGCCCAGGTGCTGCTGCTGGGCAGGGGATCCCTGTCCTCTGGTGACCCCACAGTCCCTGCTCCCCTGACAGGGCGCGGGAGCCCTTTTCCGGATCCGCCTGGCCGGGGGCTCGGCCCCCTGCACCTACCTGTCCCCTCAGGATCCCCATCCTCTCTGCCATCCTGCCATTGACAGGTAAGGGGCTGCAGGGACAGGACTGTCCCCAGGATGTCCCCTAACCCCTGCAGGCAGCCAGTGGCATCACCATGAGTGGGCAGTGTCGCTGTGCATGGCTGTGTTGTCACCCTGGGTAGCCACAGTGGTGGTCACTCTGCTCCCCCAAGAACTGGGTCCCTGGCCCAGCGTTCCCACTGGTGGCTGTGGTGGCTGTTCCTGCCTGCCACCACGGGCTGGCAAGGAGGTGTCCCCACGGGGACAGGGGGTCTGGAGACATCTCACCCTGTCCTCCCCACAGGGCCCTGCAGCTGAGCGGGGCTGGGGGCCCTCCCCACGTGAGACTGACGGTGGAGTGGGACATGAGCACCAAAGAGCGGTGAGTGCCTGTGCCCGGACTGGGGGGACACTCCAGCATTCGGGTCACCCTCGCTGGTGACACGTTCCCCCCAGGCTGTTCGGGAGCATCCAAGAGGAGGTGGTGCAGGACGCGGCGAGCGTGCGGCAGCAGCAGCAGGCGCACGGGCAGCAGCACAGCTGCACGCTGGACGAGTGCTTCCAGCTCTACACCAAGGAAGAGCAGGTACGGCACCCCCCCGGGCACCGCCCAACCCCGGCACAGGGGCTGTTGGTGCCTGCGGTGCTGGGGGTGGCTGTGGAGGTGGCGGGGCGTGACAGGGAGGGAGGTGGCCATGTCGTGGTGTCCCCAGCTGGCCCCGGACGATGCCTGGCGCTGCCCGCACTGCAAGGTGCCCCAGCAGGGCACGGTGAAGCTCAGCCTGTGGACGCTGCCGGACATCCTCATCATCCACCTGAAGCGCTTCCGGCAGGTGGCCGAGCAGCGGCACAAGCTCACCACGCTGGTGAGGTTCCCGCTGCGGGGGCTGGACATGGCCCCGCACGTGGCACAGCGGGGCCAGCCCGGGGGGCAGCTCCTGGGGCGCTGGGCGCCCTGGCAGCCCCCCCTGCGCCTGCCCCCCGGCTGCCCCCGCGACCACCTGTACGACCTGTACGCGGTCTGCAACCACCACGGCAGCATGCAGGGCGGCCACTACACCGGTGAGCGGGGACACTGGCGACAGGGGGTGCCAGGGGACAGGGCAGAGGGGAGCCGGGCTGCAGGGGATGGCATTGCACCCACCCCAAGGCAGGCAGGACGCCGGGATGTGCCCCGCAGCACCATCCCATTCCCCCAGTGTGTCCCTGCACCATGGGCTTCTGGTCCCCCCTGCACCCCGGGGCTGGGGACATCCCGGGATAGAGCCCCCGTCACCCCTCACCCCGTACCCCCCCGCCCCCAGCGTTCTGCTGCAACGCCCTGGACGGGCGCTGGTACAGCTACGACGACAGCCGTGTGGAGGGGGTGCGCGAGGCCGAGGTGAGCACCCGCAGCGCCTACATCTTGTTCTACCAGCGCCGCCGCGCCGCCGGCTCCGGCACGGGTGAGCCCCAAATCCCTGCCTGCCGCACACCGGCACTGCCGCGGGGCACAGCCGTGTGGTCACACACAGCCCTACATGTGACCCACACCTGCCCCTGCCCCCCGCACACGTGTGCGCACACACCTGCTGCACCATCCCGACGGGTGTGCGCACCCCCAGCCCACCCGTGCCCCAGCCCCGGCCCACGCCCGCCGCTCCCCGCAGGATCCGCCGCCTCCGCGGGGCACTGGGTGTTCCGCCTGGCCGCCTCCGAGCCCCGCGACGACCCCAACCCCTCGGGCTCTGTCACGGCCCCGGAGAACGGTGAGGCTCGGGATGCTCAGCCCCAGGCCCCCCCCGTGCTCCCCGCCCGCCCTGACCGTGGTTCCCCCGCAGGCGGGTTCGAGGCGAGGCCCCCGGTGCGGGGGCTGCAGGGGCTGCACGGCCGCAGCCTCAGCGTGCGGACCGCCCCCGCCGGACCCCCGGGACAGGGGGAGCCGGCCCCCCCCCGCGCTCCCCGACGGCTCCGCCGGGCCGCCAGCGCCGAGGGGACCCCGCGCCGGCCGCCGCCGGGCCCCGGCAGCCCTGGAGCCTCGGTGCCGCAGGGGGACGCGGGTGTCCCCCCGGGCCGCTGCCCCCCCGGCCCCTCGGCGCTGGGGCGGTCGCGGAGCTCAGCCAGCCTGCCCCCCCGGCCCGACGGGGGGCTGCGCAGATCAGCCTCGCTGGGCAGGGGTGCGGGGGGGCCGGCCCTGGCCGCCCGGGGTCCCTCCGGGGCCACCTTGCAGCGGGGCCGGCAGCCCACCGGCCCCCTGCGCTCCCCGGCCGTGCCTGAGTCCAGCTTCTGAGCCATGCATGGGGGGCATCACCCCCCAGGAGCTGTATGGCATGTCCTGAACGCATCTGGGGGTGTCCCACCGCAAGCGTGCCTGAACCAGGGATCCCAAAGCAGGAACATCCTGATCTGGGGGCTGCCAACCCAGGGATTTCTGAGCTGCGGGAAATCCAAACCAGGGTATCCTGACCCAGACGCTCCCAAATGGAATCGACATGGGGGGCTCCTGCCTGACCCAGGGCATGCCAGACCCTGATCCAGAAGTGTTCCAAACCAGGACCATCCCTAGCTGGGGGTTTCAGACCTGGGCTCATCCCAAACTGGGCTCATTCCCAAGTGGTGGCTCTGAACCCGGGGGTCTCCCAACGCAGGGCCATCCCAAACAGGGTGGGTGGGTGCAGGGTCCCCAGCTCTGCAGCACCAGAGTATTTATTGTACCAGGAGAGTTTTATTCAGAGACGCTTTTTGTTTTCTAAAAGGCGACTATTTGGGGGCGGGGGGTCCCCCACACCTCGGTCTATGCAATCCCCGATTCCTGCAGCCAGCTTTTGTACGGGGCTCTACCCCACCGCCGGCGGTTTCTATTAAAGACACGTGAAACAAGCCCAGTGTCCATCCTTGGGGACGTGTCTGTGGGGAAAAGGGCTCTGTGTGTCTTGGGGGTGGTCCTGCAGTGGGGATCAACCCAGGGTCAGGGGTCAGTCCTGGCTGGATCCTGCCGTGTGGGGCAGCTGTGCCTGGGGGAGGTCTGGGAGCAGGGTGGCAGCACCAGAAGTGTCAGAATCCTGGAGCTGAGCCCACCCAGACATGAGCAGGATGTGTGGGGAAAGTTGGTGCAGCCACAGTGAGGGATGGAGGTAGAGGTGGTGGGGTCAGGGGGGAGATGGAGGAGATAGACAAAGGGGAGGAGTTTGGGGGCTGGTAGACATGGGAGTGGGATCAGGGTGGAAACAGATGTGTGTGGAAGAGGTGGGATTGGGGTGGAAGTGGAGGAGGTCAGGGTGGATGAGGTGGGATGGAGGGGCAGGGCAGAGATGGAAGCAGTGGAGATGGAAACAGGCCTGGGTGGAAGTAGAGGAGGAAGGTGGAGGAGTCTGACCTTTGCTGCAGTCTGCTCCAGTCCAAGGCCCCTGCTGTGCCACCCCTGCTGCCGTGGCTGTGGCCCTGCTTTGTGGCAGGGGACATGTGGGATTGCCACTCCTTGTCACCCAGCCACTCGACACCCTGGGTGTAGCAGTTTCCCTGGGGCACCCATGGATGCTGGCAGTGACAAGGACAGGACCTCCCCACTGCTCTGCACCCCACAGATGCAGCTGGGAGAGGGTGGTGATCCCTCAGTCCTGCCCCATCCCATGGCACCAGACCCATAACATTCCCTATAAAACACCACTTTATCACCCAAATCCTCTCCACCTCCAAATCCTCCCCCCAGGGCTGGGGCAGGAAGCAAAGGCTGGCGCTGCCGGGCAGTTCTCAGCTAGTGGCACACGGATTTATTGGATTTATTGATTGCTTTGGGGTGCTGGTGCCCCCCGGTGCCCACCTGGGGTGGGGGGCACGGCGCGAGCGGGGCGGGGGCGAAGCGCTGCCATTTCCATCCTCCCTCTCTCCCCGACCGGGCGGGAATGGCTCCAAATAAAACAAATCTCTCTATAATTTCTCTCTCTCTATACAAATATAGAATATATATATATCTCTGCCGATATATATATATATATATATAGATCTTCTCTCTCTGGAAAGGATAAAAGGTTAATTTGTCTGTGCATGCACGACCAAAGCCACCAACCCCCAGGGACAGCGGGTGCTGAGGGACGTGCTCCTCCCCACCAGCACCCCGAGAGCTGGGGGGGCACATCCTGAATCCCCAGGTTATTGCTGGTCAGGTCCCATCCTGCTCCCGAACAAGCGGAGGGGGAAGAAGCCGAAGAAAGGAAATCCCACTGCAAAGCGCCGGCGAGCTCCTTGTCACCTGGCCAGCACCCAGTGGCACCCGGCTCGGAGCACGGAGGACGTGGTGGCATCACCGCGGGGTCGTGGGTGCTGCGGGGCGGGGGAGGCAGGCACCCGGTTCAAAGGCAAAGTCTGGATAAGGCGAACAAAAATGAACTAAAGAACAGCGGCCGTCCCCAAACCGGGAGCTTCGCCGCCCAAAACTGGCCCATGGCCCTTGGTGCCGGCGGCCGGTGCTGGCCCCTGGGTGCCGCACGAATGAGCTTGGGGACAAGGACACTGTCATAGGGCCGTGCTCTCCGATTCCTCCTCCTCCTCCTGCCGCGGGGTCAGGCTCGTCCCCGAGAGTCTCTGCGCTGCCTCGGGCGGGTCCCGGCACAGGGCGGCGTCCGGCGACACATGGAGGGAGGGGACCTCAAAACGGAGCAGACCTGCGGGAGGGCACAGTGATGGGGACACCCGCCGGGGCTGGCATCCTGTTAGTGCCACCACCAGGGGTGTCACCGCCGCCCTCTGCTCTGCGGAGCTCACCCGAGCCAGGGCGGTGACCCCAGCTGTCCCCACACACTGCCCGGGTCCCGGGAAGCTCCATCCCACCGAGCGCAGGTGACACTGTCCCCTCTCCCAGGGCACCCGCAGGGTGAAGCTGCGCATGGGAAGTGACAGGGTGACCACAGCCACAGGCAGGCGGTATCACTGTGTTCTTTGCTGAGAGCAGAGCAACCCCCTCAGACCGAAAAAGCTCCTCTGCCACTCCTGCCCAGCTCAGGGACATTGTCAGGGTGTGATGTCAGGGCTGCATCCATGCCCAGGGTGCCCTGCCAGGCCCACAGCAATGTGTGGGCAGAGCCACGCCGATGCCTGTGCCACCCAAAGGCAGGTGGCAGCCCCTGGGGACACTGTGACCAGCCCCTCGCTGCCACTCACGCTGTCCGACCCCTCACAGGCAGGATGGGCATGGAGGGGACAGAGGGGACACACATCCATTGTCCCCAGTGCCAGCTGGCACTCCCAAAGCGTCCCCTTGGCTCTCCCCCTCCAGCAGCGCAGGGACCCTGGGGGGACACGGCCCCAACACAGCCCAGGGCCAGGGAGGGCAGAGCAGCAGGGACAGCAGCACAGCTCCTGGGGATGGCACATTCCTGGTGACACTGCCACGTCTCAGGGGACATAGCCAGCTTCCCGATGCATCCTCACCTCCCTGGGCTCATCACCACCGTCCTGGGGACAGTTCCACTTTGCCAGGGGCATCACCACCTTCCTGAGTACATGGCCACCCTTAGGGGGATGCTGGCACCCTCCTGGGCCAGTACCACCTTGCCTGGGCTATCATCTCCTTCCTGGGGACATCATCTACTTCCTAGGGACAGTTCTGCCTTTCCAGGGACATTGTCACCTTCCTGGGGAACGCTGCCACCTTCCAGGGCACAGTCCTGCCTTCTCAGGGCCATTGTCCCCGTGCTGGGCACTCTGCCACCCCCCGGAGCCCCCCCGCCGGGGTTACCTGTGAGCGCGCCGTCCCCGGGGCCCGCGGTGTCCAGGCGGGGCGGCTCCGGGGGCTGGGGGGGAGCGGGGGCGGCCGGGGGCGGCTGCGGCGGGGGGGGCAGCGCGGGGCGCGGCCGCGCTTTGGGAGCGGCCCGGGCCCGGGGGGCTGCGGCGGCGGGGGACGGCAGCAGCGGGGGCGGCCCGGCTCCGGGCGAGGCTCCGGGAGGGGCTCCGGGGGGGCCGTACGGGGACGGGGTGCTGGGGGGGGTCGGGGACAGGCTGGCCGGGGACGGCTGCCCCCCCGCCGCCTCCCCCGCCGCCGCCCGGGGAGGGATGGGCGCCAGCTTCTTGGCCCCTGCGGGACAGAGACAGCGACAGCGACACGTCAGGGGCACCCCGGGACACCGCACCCCGCAGCCCCCGCCCGCACCTCTCCTACCTTTGCGCAGCGACTGCGGGCTCTGCTCGGCCGCGGGGGCGGGGGACGGCCCCGGGGACAGCTCCGGGGGCTTGAAAGTGCTGGGGTGGGCACGGGGCACGGAACGGGCAGGGAGAGGAGAGAGCAAAAGGGGAAAGGGGAAGGAAAGGGAGAAATGGAAGGAAAAGAAAACAAACAAAAAAAAAACCTCGCAAAATTGGGGTGGGGGAAGAGAAGGGAAAGAAGAAAGAGGAAAAGGGAAAGGGAAAAAAAAAAGAAATGGAAGAGAAAGGAAGAACGGGGAAAATCCCACAAAATAAGGAAAAGGAAAAAGAAAGAGGAAAAGGAAAGGAAAGAAAATGGGGAAAGGGGAAGGGAAAAGGAAAAGGAAAAGGAAAAGGAAAAGGAAAAGGAAAAGGAAAAGGAAAAGGAAAAGGAAAAGGAAAAGGAAAAGGAAAAGGAAAAGGAAAAGGAAAAGGAAAAGGAAAAGGAGAGTTTAAAGCATAAAAAGGCAAATAAAAAAATAAAAGTAAAATTAAAGTGAAATTAAATTAAAATAAATGAAAAATAAAAATAAACCAATGAAAAGCAAAGAGCAAACGTTCGAAGAATTAGAAATAAAATTAAAACAAAAAAATACAAAATAATTAAATAATAAAGGCAAATGTGAAATCAACAAAACAAACTCAAAAATCATGACAAATATGATTTAAAAGTAAAACAAAAATAAACTCCAAAATCAAGTAAAAGGAAGCCATAAAAGATGAGCCAAAGCAATAAAAAAGAAAATTGAAAATAAACAGCAGAAGAAGAAGAAGAGGGAGAGCCGTGAGCTCCTTCCCGCACCCAGTGCTCCGCACCCCGTGTCCCCCTCCCGCCGCCCCCGGGGTTCCTCTGCCCCCGCCGCTGGGGCCCCCCCGGCCCGCGGGGCCGCGGTTCCCTCGGGGGGCCGGGCGGGGGTCCCGGGGCAGGGGGGGCGGAGGGGAGGCAGAGCCGGGACCGGGCAGGGGGACAGTGCCACGGGGAGCAGCGCGGGCAGCGGGGGAGCTGCGGCCACAGCTGGCACCGGGGGCTCGGGGGGTCCCCGGGCCGGGGGGCGCTGGGGCCGCCGCTGCGCCAGGCAGCTGCCGGGTCAGCCCTGCTGCAAAGGTACAGAAGCACCGTGAAAACCGGCAGAGCTAACACAAAACCCGGGGGAAATTCATCAAAGAGCAGCAGCGTTGGCGGTCAGGGGCAGCGGCGCGGGAGCCCCGCGGTGCCGAATCCCCGGGCACGACCCTCCGGGGGCAGCCCCTCCCCAAGTGCGAGCATCCCGGCCCGGCTCTGCTGCTCTTTTGGGGCAGAAAAGTGGGATTTAGGCGCCTTCTCCCACATGAGCAAAGTCGGACTCAGACCCTGGCCAGACGAAGGTCTCGGAAGGCGCTGGGCTCCCTGAGGGTTTTCTCTGCACCTTCCTGCAGCACCTCCAGCCCAAATTCCACCACAGCCCAGTGAGACCTGGGCAAGGAAAATCCCAGAAGTCAGCACGGTTCTCATGGGAATGGCAGGATGGGGATGCGGTGGTGGCTGCGGGGATGCCGAGCATCCTCTCCTGCTGCCCGCAGGTCTCTGCTCCTCTCCCGAGGATGCTGAGCATCCTCTCCTGCACCGTGAGGTTGTTTCCTGCTGGCATCACTCGCGGGGAGGATGCCCGGCTTGGGGACACGGGCTGCCGGTGGCCTTACCTTGTCCGCTCGGCTGCCGGGGGGAAGCCGAAGCTGGTGGGAGGCGGGGAGGGCGTTGCTGAAATCTCTGGCGACTGCTCGGGAATGGGCGAGTGGGGCGTGGGGGGGAGCTCGGCGGGGGGGGCCGGGGGCTGCGCGGCCGGGGGGGCCGAGGTCGCCTTGCGCCCCGCTGAGGTGCCTCGGCGAGCCACCCACGAGGTGTCCATCACCCTGACGCCCATGCTGGGGACACAGAGACGGAGGTCAGCACACGCCCGGTGGGAGGGCACTGCCAGCACCCCCTCGCCACTCCTTCGGGGTCCCTAAAAATGCCTCTTACGCCGGGAAACCGCTGGGAATGAAACTACAGGACAATAGGGCAGGGGTGGCAGCTTGGGATGGGTTTGTGTCACCCACTGGCCTCCTCTCCCTCCCCAAGAACCAGCAGGCACCAGCAGCCTCCCAGCAGCCTCCCAGCAGCCTGCAGAGGATACGGTACCTTTGGATTTTCCTAAGGCTGCATGGGCAGAAAAAAACGATTATTAATGTGAAACCCCCCCCCAAAACTGGACAGTGCACAGGGAGAGAGGTCACTGCTGGGCAAAGGAGCTGTGAGGCTGAGTGGCTTCGAGAGTAGGGGCAGGGGGGGCTGAGCAGGGACCAGGCTATGCTTGGGCTATTTTCTGGAAATGGGGACATTTTTAGGATGGGCAGAGCCCTGGGGTGTTTTCTGGAGCCCACCTGGCTGTTTGAGGTCCCTGTGAGGTGTCATGGAGAGGGGACATGCAGAGGCTGGGAACTGGGAGCTTTCCCCCAGAGCAAATCCTGCAGACCTTGAGGGCACCAGGACACCTGTCTCTGGCATGGCACAGCCCCAGTGTCACCCCGTGGGCAGTGGGCTGGGGGCAGGCATGGAGCCCTGGGTTTACCTGAGCACCCCCAAGAGCCTGGCATGGAGAGCAGAGGGTACCTCCACCCTGGGACCACCCAACCTCCAGCAGCTCACTTCCACCCCAAGGTGATGCTGAGAGTTGTCTGCTGCCCTGGACAGTGTCAAAGCCAGCCCTCCCTCTCCCCAGCCCAGCAGCATTCCTACCCATCCTTCTTGTAGAACTCCAGCATCATGTTGTCGGTGGCCACGCTGAGGGGCCGCCGGGCCTGGTCGTGCTGCCGGCGCTCGCCGTGGTCCATGTCCGGCGAGGGCATGGAGCTGTAGTTGGCGTTGTGGTTCACGTGCAGGGGGCTGCCGTAGTTCCCAGTCACATTGAACTCGATGTCTGGGGTGACAGAGGATGTTGGGGGGGTGTCCTCAGGGAGGGGAGGACTGGAGGTGTTGGCACTGCAGAGAAGCTCAGGGGAGTGCTGTGCTGAGCCTGGCCAGAGCCCTGCCTGAGCTCCAGCAAGCAGAGGGGGCTGGCAAAGCCAAACCTGGGAGCTCGGAGCCCCCTCCCCAGGAGGTGCCAGGAAGCCCAGCTGTCCCGGGGCCGCGGGCACACCCTACCTCCCGGGAAGAACCAGTCTGCGTGCTGGATGAGCGGCTCGATGATGCCCACGATCTGCAGTGACAATGTCGTCATCATCTCCGTCATGTTCCTTCAGGGGGGCGGCAGCTCAGCAACCCAGCAGGATTCCCAGCAGGATTCCCAGCAGGGTTCCCAGCAGGGTTCCCAGCAGGATCTGCCCCTCAGCCCTCAGCCAGCGCTCACCCCTCGTCCTGTGGCCACAGCAGGTTGGGCCCCAGCACGATGGCCACGTTGCTCGGGGTCATTTTGTTCATATCCTGGTACTCAGTCAGCTTGGCCAGGAATTTAATCACATACCTGGAAAGCAGATCCCAAATGGGTCAGTGCATGGGTCACAGCCTCTGTGTGCCCTCCTCGTCCTGCTGGCCCCAGGCTCACCTGATGTTGTTGTAGTTGGCTTTGGGCAGCTTCTCGCAGGCATTCCAGAGAGCCTGCAGCCGTTTCTCCTGTTCTGGGATGCTGCAGGGAGGTGGGAGAGGACATTCCCCATTCTCACCCTGCCCTGGGGCTGTGGTCCCCGTCAGCCCCACCCCTGCAGACCCTGCGAGACCCTCAGGCTGACACCAACATTATCTGAGTAAAAGAAGCCCCAAAACCTGTCCCATGGAGAAGGAAACAATTTGGATGCTGGACCTTTCACCACTCCACGGCTTCCAGAGCCCAGAGGAAACATCCCAAATATTGTGAACTGTGCCAGAACAGCCCCAAACCATCCACAGGGACCCGGGCTGTCCCAGCCATGCCACAGAGGAAAGGGGGGATGTCCCAGACTCACTTGGAGGCCTGGATCCACTCCTCGTACAGCTCAAACGTCATGAGGGGCTCGGGCAGCTCCCGCAGGTAGGACTTGAGGGCTCCTGTGGCACACAGGGGACACAGGGATTGGCACTGTGGGTGGCACCAGCTGTTGGGCACCAAGTGGTTTTTCTCCTGGGCGCTGGGATTCACATCCCCCCCAGCCTTCCCACCCACCCCAGAGCACCTGCTGGGCTCACTGACTTGGAGCAGCCTGTGGTACCCCTGACCCCCAGCACCCACCCTGTCACCCCCCAGTCCCTCTTGGCACCTTCCCAGTTCCCTCCCCCAGGTGTTTTCCCAGGTCTCCATCGCCCGTTTTTGCCTGGGACATTCCCAGCTCCCTGTGCTGGGACAGGCTCCCATTGGGAAGGGAGGGTTCAACCCTGTGCCTGCCAGAGCCCCCATTCCCAGAGGGAGCAGGGACACCATGGGGACCCAGCCAGTGCTCCAGAGCACTGGGATCTGTGCTTGGGGAGGCAATTCTCCCCAGAAGAGGTGAGAGAAGATGGGAAGTTTGATGTTAACATGAATCTTCCCAACCAGTCCCTGCTCCTGCAGAGACCCCCTAATCAGTGTCACCCTCATTAGCATCACCCTTATTAGTGTGACTGGATGATGGTTGTATCCCTGTTTTCTTCATCTCCAGCCTGGCCACGTCCCCGTGGATGGCAGTAACTCCCTGGGGCTGCCACTGTCCCCAGGTTGTGTCACCCGCCCACTCATTGAGGGGACACCCTGCCCCATCAGCCAGGCCATCAATTAATGACAAAATTAATTGAACAAAATCAGACCCAGCATCGACCCCTGGACAGCACCACTGGTTCCTGGTCCCTATTTGGACTTGGTGCCACTGATCCCCCTCAGGATGCCCTTGCAGGGTGCCTGGAAGGGCCACCCCACCCTGAGGAGCCCCACCTGCGATGGCATGGGGGTCAGCTGAGTACTCCTGCACGTCCACCACGCAGCAGTCCAGGGCAGCCTTGAGCTTCTTCAGCTTGGAGGCCGAGGGAGCCACTCGGAAGAGACCCTGGGTAGAGGACACGGAGAGTGCTGGACAAGGCTTGGGGCTGGAGATGTCCCTAGAGCCCCCCAGTTCCTCACCCTGGCCCTGGGGACACCTGTGGGCCTCTTCCACCACACCCAGCAAGGGTGGGACATGGGATCCACCTCCTGCATCCCCCTTCCAGCAGGGACCCTTCTGTTCCTGTATCCTCCTTCCAGCAGGGACCCACCTCCTCCTGCATCCCGCATTCCAGCAGCATGGTCACACAGGCCTCCACGGGGAAGGCGATCTCCCGCCCGCTGACAGCCAGGTGCTCCTCCAGGGGCTTCCCAAAGGAAGGCTTCTCCATCCACGCCTCTGTGATGGGCAGAGGGGGCAGAGGAGAGGGAGGGTGGTGCCAGGCCCAGCAGCCCCTCCCCAAAAGGCCCTTGGGTCACAGTTTTGGCAGCAGAATACTTGGTATGGATGTTGTTAGGAGAACAGGACCCTGCACCTCTAGCCTGGGCAGCTTGGGAAGTGCTTTTGAAAGTGTAATCCAAACAAAATACTTTCCAGCCATCACAGGATTTCAAAGGAGTTGGATGACATTTTCCAGTAGGCAAACCTTTGCAAAATTCTTCTCCTCTTCCATCATGGTTTAAGGCAGGAATATTTTGTGGGATAGAGAGAAAATCCCTCCTTGCCGTGCTGCAGTGACAGCAGCACCAGGAGCCCTGGCCAGGGAAGGAGCTGCTTTTGGGGCCATTGCCTGGGGCTCACCCCAACCTTGACCTCCCAGCCCAGAGCCTCTGGATGCTGCAGCCCCAGAGAGACCTCCCAAGCCCCCCCCTAAATCCCAGAACAGTTTGAGTTGGAAGGGACCCCAAAGCCCACCCAGTGTCACCCCTGTCATGAGCAGGGACACCTTCCACTGTCCCAGGCTGCTCCAAGTCCTGGCCTTGGGCACTTCCAGGGATCCAGGGGCAGCCACAGCTGCTCTGGTCGCCTGTGTCAGGGTCTGCCCACCCTCACCATGCTAGGGCAGGTTTCTCCCTCTCCGTGCAGATGGATCCTGCCCCCCAGCCAAGCGGGATGGGATCTCCTCCCACTGGGACAGGCGGGATGCAGGCAGGACATGCAAAGGGAGGGTGTTCAGCTGTCCCTGCCCTGTCACAGAGCCTGTCCCAGGCCCTCGGTGTGACTGTGGGAGCGGGACAGACCTGTGGGCACTCACCCTGCTGGGCTTTGATCTGTGGCAGGAAGTTCTGCAGGAGCGCCAGGGATTTGCGGTGGTACTCGGCCTGCACCTCGATCAGCTGCGGGGACACGGCACCGGGGTCACTGCACTGCCGCCCACAGCACAGCCCTGCGTGCGGCTGCCACTTACAGTTTGAAAATAGTTTGCATAGTCGACTTCTTTGGCCACAAAATTGTACATGTCAGCCGAGAGTTGGTCCTGCGGGGGGCAGAGGATCTGTCACCGTCCCTCCCCTGCTGCCCTGGAGCCACCACCCCGGCCCTTCCCGAGGCACCAGGAGGAGCAGCAGGAGCCAGAGTGGCACAGGGTTAAGGTTAGTGTGTCAGGGGAGGTTCAGGAGACCCCCCCCTCCCCCCACTGCAGCTTGAGCAGGGTCCAGGTCCCCCCAGATGCACAAAGAAAGGAGATCGGGCTCCCTCTTGTCCCATGGAAAGGGGATGAAAGTCCCACTTAGTGCTTGAAAATGACAGGAATAAACCCAGCACAGAGAAGTTGGAGAAGTGTCTCTAACAGTGCCAGGGCTAGATGTTCTCAGGGCTGAGCTCTGCCAGGACAAGTTCCCAGGGAATGGGAGCCCCCCCAGTTCCATGGGATGTGGAAGATGGGGACAGAGCAACTGGGGATTTCCAGCTTGGCTGGGGAGCATCACTCAGAGCCCCTGCGCTGTGTCTGGGCACCAGAGGAGGGGCAGCCCAGGCAGGGGGGAAGGAGGATGCAGAGCAGGGTGAGAGGAGAGGCTGCAGCTTTCCCCAGTCGGGGAGCACACAGACCCCTGAGCCAGGAGCAGCCCCAGTACCCTGCAGATCTCCACTCTGTTGGCTGCCTCCTCCATCTCCTCCCTTAGAGCATCGGCCTTGGCGCCCGAGGGTTGCAGGTTGCTGGCCAGCCCCGAGGACTTCATCGACTGCTGCCACCTGCGGGAGGGACAGGGACGGTCAGAGCATGGACCACATCCCACCACGGTCCCCAGGGCTGAGCAGCACGGAGATGATCCCAGCTGGGATTTAGCACCCACTCCCAACCCCATCCCCACAGCGCTGCACAGACCAGGCTCCAGGGAAGGAATTCTTTTTAGCAGGGTAAGGAGCCATATCCAGTGGTGGGAAGAGAGAGGAAGGGGATGGGAGAGCCTGGACATGATGCTGGGGACTGTGGACACCTCTCAGACCTCTCCCAGGACATCCTGGAGTAGGGGCTTGGAAAACTCAAGGGCGTCCAAGTCATCCCAGCTCCCCTTGGTGCCACTGCAGGGGCCGGAGCACCAGGCTCTTTGCATCAGAACTCACCAAGACAGGGAAAAAAGTACAAAATAACCCTTTCTGCCAGAAAAAAAATACACTTTTGCTGCAGAGGGCAGGCAAGGGAAAGGAATCCATTTTTTCTGCAGACAGGAGCAGAAATTGTGGCTCATTGCAGAGCTTGACTCAAGGCCCAGAGACACAGCCAGGATTCCTTGTCCCAAGGGAACTGCAGTGCCAGGGGCCCAGGAGCTGCTCTCCTGGGAGCTACCCACGGCCTGGGAATGTTTATTTCTTATAAAGCACTTGGAGGCACTTCCTACCTCGTCCTGGAGGAGTCCATGTCCAGCACGAGCTTCGCTAAGTGCTTCCTCTGCTTTTGGATATTTGGGATTTCCACCTGCAGCAGCACATGGAAGAGGAGGAGGTGAACACCCCTGGAGAGGTGGCCAGCAATGGGTCACATGCTGGGGCAAGCTGGCTGGGTAAGGATGCAGCTCCTTAATTTAACACCCTCAGGGAGATGGCCCAGCTGATCCCTCCCACGTGTCCCACCTGGAACGTGCCACACCTCACCAGCCCCAGCCCCAGAACCTGAGAGGAGCGGCCTTGGGGGATCCAAACCTCCCGGAGAAGGCAGGCTGGATGAGGGCAGGAGAAGGACATGGCAGGACCCCGGCTCACCTCAGCCAGCACAAAGAGCGGCTCGATGACGTCCCTCTCCACCTGCAGCTCAAAGTGGATGAGCTCCTGCGCCAGTTTGTCCTCAGCCTCCCCGCACAGCCGCAGCATCTTCCTGCAGGGCCAGGCGTGAGGGGCTGCGCCAGGTGGGGCTGCCCCGCACCCACGGGGGCCAGGGCACCCAGCGGCCCCTCCAGGGCACAGCGGGGAGGAAGGGCAGCAGCCAGGGGCCCTGGGCACCCGGGCTGTCAGGAAAGCACATTCCTCAAGTATTGCAGGATTATGTTATTCTAATGATATAATAATAATTAAAATATTATATCATTGTATTATGACTATATTATTATGTTATATATTAGTATTATGTTTTAGTAATATAGAACATATAACATATAACATATATCATATATAACATATAACATATAATATATACTATATAATATTGTATTTTATTATATACTATATATTATTATTATGAGACATTATTAACTATATTACTATGTTATATATTGGTATTATCTTATGTTTTAGTATTAAATTATATAATATTATTATGACATATTAACTATATTATTATGTTATATATATAACTATATTATTATGTTATATATTGATATTATGCATATATTGATGTTATTTTATTATATATTATTATTAGGTCAGTCTGAAATTGTATGGACTTTAAATATCTATAAAAATAAATATATATATAAAATATATAAATAATAAATCACATATAAATATAAAAATATTCATAAAACATGTAACCATATAAATTACAATATAGAAATATATAAAATGTACAAGTGTAAATATATTAATAAGGATAAATAACATACAAGTAAATAGTAATAACTCAAATAAAAATATATAACATATATAAAAATTGATATAAAAATAAACACAAAGGTCTATATATGCAAATTACACTGTATGATCACAGGACACCAGCCCATACAAGGAGGAGAAGAATTAACTACCGAGATCCCCCCAGCCCCTCCAAGAGAGCAGTGAATCCCCATTATCCAGCACCAGAGACAAGGAGCAGCAGCATTCCCAGCACATTCCCAGTGCATTCCCAGCGCATTCCCAGCACATTCCCAGTGCATTCCCAGCACATTCCCAGTGCATTCCCAGCACATTCCCAGTGCATTCCCAGCGCATTCCCAGTGCATTCCCAGTGCATTCCCAGCACATTCCCAGTGCATTCCCAGCACATTCCCAGTGCATTCCCAGTGCATTCCCAGTGCATTCCCAGTGCATTCCCAGGGCATTCCCAGTGCATTCCCAGTGCATTCCCAGCACATTCCCAGCACATTCCCAGTGCATTCCCAGCACATTCCCAGCACATTCCCAGTGCATTCCCAGTGCATTCCCAGCACATTCCCAGCGCATTCCCAGTGCATTCCCAGTGCATTCCCAGCACATTCCCAGTGCATTCCCAGTGCATTCCCAGTGCATTCCCAGCACATTCCCAGCCCCCGGGCCCCAGGCCAGCCCCAGCCCCCC